CACGGCTGGCTACTGGCCACGGCTGGCTACTGGCCACGGCTGGCTACTGGCCACGGCTGGCTACTGGTCACGATCGGCTACTGGCCACGACTGGCTACTGGCCACGGCTGGCTACTGGTCACGGCTGGCTACTGGCCACGGCTGGCTACTGGCCACGGCTGGCTACTGGTCACGATCGGCTACTGGCCACGGCTGGCTACTGGCCACGGCTGGCTACTGGTCACGATCGGCTACTGGCCACGACTGGCTACTGGCCACGACTGGCTACTGGTCACGGCTGGCTACTGGCCACGGCTGGCTACTGGCCACGACTGGCTACTGGTCACGACTGGCTACTGGTCACGACTGGCTACTGGTCACGATCGGCTACTGGCCACGGCTGGCTACTGGCCACGGCTGGCTACTGGCCACAGATGGCTACTGGTCATGACTCAGGCCAGTAAAAAGTTAAAACCTTCTGAGGCTAAAAACCAGAAACGTAAAAGGATCAAGGAAACAAGGGTCAATCTTGGAAAGGAGTTTGTTGGTTGGCACAGAATGAAAGAAGCCGCTGGATGTAAAACAGATTCTCTTTTCTCAACCTTATTATCTAATTGTTAGGTTAACCCTTTGCTCCTAGTTTACAGTCAGATCTTTGTTATTGTCAATATTTAGTAGAAGCAAAACACAGGCAGAGAAAGCTAGCAGGCTACGCACCGCCCGTCCGACCCATTGGCTGTTTAGTGGAGCTACTGGTCCTCCGTGCCGTGCGGCGTGGTCCAGCTGGCCGTGGCGTTGATGCTCTCCTGAGAGCAGCAGCGTTTCTCTTGCTCTCCGAGCTGAACCTAGACACCTAGTAGGATCTCCCATCAACAGACACGGGAGGCTGACTGTTGACTTTTGGACAGCGCTGCAGTGCTTGTGGCCACTAGGGGCGCTAGACTTTAAAGTTACAGGTCTAGTGCCCCTGGTGGCCAAAAGTTACACGGTTTGCCTTTAAAAGGTCATGTTGGGGATAAAAGGTTTCCACTGAGCATGAAGAGGTTAAAATATGGAGCCAGAAATATAAATAGGTTTAGTAATAGATTAGAAATTGCAGTATTTTCCTGAGAAATTGAAGTTGCATGAAATTGTCACACTTCTACTTTAGCAAAGGAGTAAATATTCGTCCATTAGAGCGCTGAGTTAAAGCCTAGAACAGATAATGGATGTCTATTCTGGGTTTAAGGTGTGTGTTTGTTTTTCAGAAGGAGACAGAGATGGGAAGCAACAGAGAGAGAGTTCCAGAATGATCCAGCCAGGATCTGATGATGATGATCCACCATCATCATCATCCACTCAGCTAGTCAGCAGAGTGTTTCTGGAAGATGACTCAGCACTTTGGCCAAAGCAGCTGTAAACGCTGCTCAATAGAATGAAGACCACTCCAGGTGAAGGACAGGATCTGTCCAAGGAACGGAGGCGGGAGCAGATTTACCTGCAGCTATTATTTCATCCAAATGAAAAATGGAGAACAGATAAGCAGATCATGGCTTGTCTACAGTGAAAAGAAGGACTGGGTTATTTACTTTGGCCTTTT